GGAAAGAGAGGTTGGAGAAGAGGTGACAGTTTGCTCTTGAGGTCCTGCTCTAGAGGGGACTGGATAATACAGTGTCGTCCCTGGTTGTCATGGTGATGAAGCTCAGCCTGTGTGAGAGGGACCCTTTCTGGTCCATGACTAACAAAGCAGGCATCTCCGCAAAGTCTAGAACTGCTGGTAGAAGGAAGGAAGAAAGGAAGGCAGGAAGGAAGAAGCCAGTGGATTGTCAGAGCTGTAGGAGAGCGCCTGGCCTTATAACCAGCCTGGGGTCACTCGTCCCCTTGTGCTAACACTAAGATAGGGACAAATCATTTATCCTGTGTGGGGAAATACAGAGGAAAATGAAAAGCACAGGCTGCAAAAGGCAGCACCATCTGAGGGTCAGTATTAAGCTCGGACTTTGTTCCTACCTCTTCTTCCAAGTCCCTTGACATGGGAAAGGAATCCACACTTAGTGACCACAGATGCTCCATTTCTTAGTTTTGGGGCCCCATGATTAAAATAAAGGGACTTGGGACTTCTCTGGGGGCACAGTGGTTGAGAATCCGCCTGCCAATGCAGGGGACACGGGTTCGAGCCCTGGTCCGGGAAGATCCCGCATTCCATGGAACAACTAAGCCCATGCACCACAACTACTGAGCCTGTGCTCTAGAGCCCGTGAGCCCTGAGCTCTAGAGCCCGCGAGCCACAACTACTGAGCCCGCGCGCCACAACTACTGAAGCCCGCATGCCTAGAGCCCGTGTTCCGCAACAAGAGAAGCCACCACAATGAGAAGCCGGCGCCCCGCAATGAAGAGTAGCCCCTGCTTGCCGCAACTAGAGAAAGCCCGCACGCAGCAACGAAGACCCAACGCAACCAAAGATACATAAATTAAAAAATAAATAAATAAAATAAAATAAAGGGACTTGGTCCATTGCCACCTGCTGTGTCGCCATCCATCCAGTGACTCTACTCAGAAGTAATGGTGGCCTCGGAGGAGGGCAGGTAAAGGGGAAGCTGCAGGAGGAATGGAGATGACCCGAGACCAGGATGCCCGGACTCTCGCCTCTTGCCTCCACCCTGGCTGCTGGCCTGGTGGGGCTGTGTCTGGGGCAGCTGGACACTTCTTTGCTAACCTCCACTTAATCGCATTTTTTTCAAGAAGATGATGTGCAGCTGAAAGTCTCCTGAAAGCTCTAATCGGGCCATATTCTTAGTCATGATACCATCAAGTAATGTATGTGAAAGCCTTTGATAAATGGTTATACACTTTACAGACACTGGGCTTCAGCTGAGGCCTGTGTGGGATGCGTCCAGGTAGACCAGAAACCGCAGCCCCTCGAGTCCCTGTTCTGGTGCCCTGAGGTGGGGAGTTGAGGTGGAGTAAATTCTTACCCTTGCTCAGCTACAAAGGGTCATGTTTTATTCCTTCTTAGAAACGAGGTTTCCCCAGAGCAGCTTTGTGTTAGCTGACTCTCTGGAACATTCCCTAGGGGATGATGACCCACACCTAATTCACAGGGATGGTATAAACTCGGCCCTTTTTAGAAGCTGTTGATAAAGCTTGAAAAACAAAAGGAAGCTATGTGAGCCCTATATTGGCTTACTAGAGATTTGTTCACTCGGCAGATATTTGTGGAGTCAGGCCCTGTGCCGAGTTCTGAGTGCACAATGGTCCGTCCTGCTCCTGTAATGATCACTGTTAACCCTCACATACCTCCCGCCGAGTGTCGAGCAGTGTTCCAAGGGCTCTGCGAGTTTTCGCTCATCTCGTCTGCCTCGCAGCGCTTCGGAGAAATGCTTTGTTGTCCCACTTTACAGATGAGGACACTGAGGCATGAAGAGCTGAAGGCACTTGCCCAGATACCACACACAGCTGGTGTGCGATCAAGCCAAGATGGACTGAGGGGGTTTGACTCTGGAGTCTGCCTTTCATCGTCACCCTCTACTGTTTCTACTTCCTCTCGTAGGGTTTACAAACTAGTGGGGCAGACGGACAATTTTTTAAAAAGCTGTAAACTCAGTGCGGTAATGGCTGTGGAAGAAATGGGTGGGATGCAGGGAACAAGGATGGGGGTGGCCTCTTGAGAAGACCTCAAAGCCGTATGGGAAGATGAAGGTGTGGGAGAAGGCTGTAGGCAGACAGAACAGGATGTGTGAAGGCTGTAGAGTGGGAAGGGGTGGGAAGGGGTTTGAATTTTGCCCTAAAGGTAGTGAGAGACTATTGGACAATTATAAGCAGGTGGGTAACAAAAAGTTATGGATTGAATTGTGTCCCTCCAGAAAAAGGTATGTTGGAGTCCTAAACCCCAGGACCTCAGAATATGACCTTACTTAGAGATTGGGTCTTTAATGAGCTAAATGAGGTCATTAGGATGGGCTGTAGTCCAATATGATTGTGTCCTCACATAAAGGGGAAATTTGGACACAGAGAGAAGACTATGTGACAATGAAAGCAGGGATCAGGGTGATGCATCTAGAAGCCAAGGAACCCCAGATGGCCAGCAGACCACCAGAGGCTCAGGGAGCAGCAAGGAACAGATGCTCATTCACTGCCCTCAGGAGACACCAACACTGCCAACACCTTCATCACAGACTCTGCGCCTCCAGAATTGTGAGATTTCCTTTGTTTAAGCTCTGCAATCTCAGGAAAGGTGAAAGGTGAGTTAAAAACTCACCACTCCAGATCCCAAGAGCCATTCTCCTTCCCAGTGAATCAAGTGCACTAATTGACAAGTGAAACGGACTAGCTGAAGTCTTGGTCACCCCCCACAGCCCCCCAGCAAAGGTCACCAAAAGGTCAGACCATATACCGAAGTCTCAGTCCTTGCTGTTCCCCGTACATTATTGGCTGCATGAAAACCAGAAACAAAAGAAAACCACCAACGTGTAGAATTTCATTCACATAATGGTGGGAGAGTTCCTGGAGCAAGAGAGGACAAGCCTTGGCACAGAAGCACTTTTCAAG